CTGCACTCCCTAATTAGAGCTAATGAATCTTCTTCTGATGATTTTTATGCCAATTTCATGATCATGTAATTCTCTCTATTGTCTCCAGTGGAGCTGCTCTTGAATAAGAAAGGTCTGTTGAGAATCTGTCCCTTGCATGAAACTGAGAGATATTTAAATAAATGCTCCAAGGCAAGAAGTAGGTAAGAAACTCTTCTGGTACTTAAACTATCTACTCYCATTTCACTCTTTCTAACATTTTCCATTGCTCCTCAAGATTACCAGATTGCATATTTCTGGCTGTTTCATGTTTGCCCCTATAACATCTAACAGCATACATAGTCTGTTTCATAGAGCTCTTAACTGAACAGCACTTTCTTCAGACAGATATACATATATAAAAGATCTCTTTTCAATAAACATGAGAAAAGAAAACCCCAAACCCAAGGTAAGCCCCAAACTTAAAGGTCTGCATCCAAAAAAGAAAAGAGGTACATTATGCATGACAATATTGAGCAATACTGAGCTGTCATCAGAAATACTAACCTTTTTTTTTTTTTTTTTTTTTTTTAACAGTTATCTCTGAGTGACTTTATTTTGTGACACTGGCGGCTTGTCCAAAAGGAAAGACCAATATTTTGAGTTGCTAAAATATTAGCCAGCACAGTTTAAAAAGCAACATTAGGCCTGGTTATTCTATTATATGGAGCTCTGAAGATCATCAGTCTTTAAAATCCAGGAAGTACATGGTTGTTTTTATAATCAATACACTACACAATTAATAATACCTTTTGCATCAYATGCAATATTTCTAACTTATCCTTCTTTCTTTCTCCTAAACCTCATTTATAATATTTCTAGTTCAGAGCAAGGAATTTCTTTCCCTACAAATTAATATTGCTCTTCTATCTTATATAGAATGAAAGAGCGATAATTGAATTTGCTTATTGAAAAGACAGCTGCACTGATGTGCCTACTAGAATTTCCTGTCTTCTGACACTAACACTCCTTTTATACTTGAGCATAGGGTTTAAAAGCCTTCCATGCCAGTAAAGCATAAATCACATACAAAAATTCCTTTCTCACTGCATTTTCAGTTCATGTTCTCTTTTCCCACTCTTTCTGTCCAGAAAGATCAGAAATAGCTCTAAACAATTCTTCTTTGTGCATTTCYCAAAGCTCTTATTCTGGAACAGATGTGGCACCTTACCAAGAGCATGGAATTTTTCCCCAATTAAGAATACAACACGACAATTCCCATGTTAATGCTTGAAATCTCTTGTAGGCTAATTATGAAACTCACAAATGCAAAGGATGGCAGGTTACAATAAACCAATGGTTTTGTGAGTGGGGGAAGGTGTCTGACAATATTTGGGAATATATTAGGAAAAATAATTCCCAATTAATATAATTTCCCAGTAATTTGGGAATATTGGAAAAAAATTTGACCTGTATTTGACCTTATTTGACCTGTAAATGACTCATCTGTTTTAAGTCTTAGACAGTTGATTTCTACAGCTGCTCTTTTTGTGCTAGCTAAAATGCAGCTCGTTAGTGTTTCTTTCTAGTCAATAGAAGACTCCAGAGAAATATGTGGAAAAGCCACAAGGAACAATGGGAGGAAAGTGTAAGAACTTAGAAGAAAACATAAAAAGATGTTCTAGATTTAGTTTCCTTAGTTTAGCTTAACTACTAATCATTATTATTTATGTCTGTATAGCAGCAATATCCTAACAAATTTAGTGGGYCTTCATGCTAACAAACCAGGTCGCCTATTATGGTACCTAAGGACCTCATAAAATTAGCAAAGAGRTAATTTTTCCTCTTTGACAGTCCGAATGCACTCTACTTTATGGACTCAGAGTTCCAAGGCCCAAACATTAAGCACTCAAGGCCCAAACATCAAAACCTACACCTTCATTGCCTGCTTACAATTACTTTTTATAACCATTTTATCTCCCATTTCCAAGCAATTAATTGAATAGATTCTTATCCTCTATCAAGTATCGTGCAAATTTCTCTTTAGCACCACAGATTTAGAGTCATTAAATGAATCTAAGTCCAGTTTTCTGCATCATACTTTTGCCTGTTCAAAAGAGGATGTGGTCCTTGACCTATCCACACATTTATTAAAGACCTAAACTATAAGCCTCTGCATATTGGAACTGAATTTACATAAATCCCATCCAATAGGAAAAAGGCTACTGTCTCCACTCTATATGCTTACAGCACAATATAGAGCCAGATAATTGTTTAGTTAGTAGATCGAAGTTTCCAGCCATCTTGGGATATATCTGATGTATATTGAACTGAATGAATTTAAATGGTGAATTCCTGGCAGCAGAGATTGGTTATTGTTTTTCCTTTGTACAGAGACCTTCAAAGAATTAATTACATTCCAGAAATGCAATGCTGAAGTTTCTCTTAAATAATTCACTTCATCTGCCTGTTTTGCATATCTCATGTATCCAATGAAACTTCCAAATGATTCAGTTTCCTTTACCCTCTAAAATTATTCTAACACAACCTTCTGAGTGATAACCTTAAATAAATATGGAATAAATATTTTTGTCCTTTTAAATCCTGGAAAGCTGCTAACATACTAACCCTGCTGAAAAGTCAGGATGATCAGACTGTTGGAGACTCCGTTACTCATTGCTATAAAACACGATCATCTCCCTTTCTCCAGTCTTAACAGAAGTTTCCATTTTCATGGTATATATTGAGGATTTTTTTTTTTTTTTTGGTAAGAAAACTATCACAATATTGAATCAGTTGATATGTGATTATTAGCATATCATTACTAGCAGAACGCAATTAATTTCTAATCCAATCTTGAACAGGCAGGTCTCTGCATTCTTAGCTGCATATCTTCTTTCCTTTAAAGCAGCATGACATGATATACAAAGTGGAAATCATCAGAAGTGCTACTGCAAGTATAAGCAAGTTCTGTCATAGGAAGTAGAAAAGTTATGTATATGGCTCACCATCAAAGTAACAGGATAACTCAGTTTTAAATATATTTATCTTCCATGTTCATCTGTGAAGTTAAAACAAAACAAAACAAAACAAAAACCCCCAAACCAAAAAAACCCTCCTGTTTTAATGATATAAGCACAAGGATTCTCAATTCTAGATTTACAACGATATACCTATTCTTCAGAATATGATTTATATATTGCCATATCCTGAAGGCATATAAAGGTATGCCAACTTAAGCCTTTATTGACAAGGTTATTGTAGTCAGATTAGCTATTCTGTGTTCATACGCACACAAAATTCTCATAGCCCAAAACTCAATGTACTTACTTCAACAACATTCAGGCACGCTCTTAATCCTTCCTGCTCATCTCTGTATGAAAGACAGAAATATCTGAAGCAGAAGAACAAGCAAACCTATGTTGTGCTGTTGAAGGCATTCTGGAACCTGAGGGACCAGTTCCTAGCCCCATTTTGGTGAATGCAAACGCCATTCACGGCACAGGAACAATTACAAAATGGAAGATAAAATAACTACTCCCAGCAGATACTTTTATACTCTCACAGGTACGATAGGTCAGAACTAAAATGCTGGATCCAGTTAAAAGAAAAAGAGCTTATATTTGGATTCCTCACTTTACACTGTCCTACTTTTTGCTGAGGCTATAGGATATTGAATCTAAATTAGGTGTTTTCGAGAAACACCTCCCTTCACAGATGACTATAATAGGCTAAGCAAAGTATATAAATGAAGACAATAGTTGCTGAATGCATCTTACAAGAAACCTTAACACTTAGCAGAATTCCGACTTGCCCCCAAAAATCTCAACTGTAACTAGAGGAACTTTACAGATCTACTCCTACATGATTTTTAGGAAATGGCCTGGAAATGTTATTGCATCATGGAGAATTAAACCTTAACATGCGTCTATCTGGTCTTACCTGTTAACTAGTGGATTGGTTTTTATATTAAGTAGTTCCATACTGCTGAAAAGCAACTCATTCTTATCTACAATTTCCAGCAAAGATAGAAAGCACCAAATCAGTATGGCATAAACTATATGGCAGCTGTAATTCAGTACCTGAGCTCGGTCTACAGGTCACATTTCAGTCCATGACAATATTAAATCAGCATTTCAAACAGCATAGCCCCATCCTGTTCTGATTCTCAACCAAGTTGGGATGCTTCCAGTTCAGGTTCTAGGAGAATGCAGATAGTGCTGAAGCTACCTAAGTACTAGGAGAGTCAGTGACTTGTAATTAAAAAAGTCTAATCTCCTCAACATTTGAAAGAAATAAAATATATAAGCATTACTAAACCTAAAAAAAATCATAGTTCCTCCTTATCTTCATTGCCTGCTTTTCAGATATTTACAGACGTTGCACTAACTTCTCACCTTTACACATTAGAATAATGTGAGATGAGAAAAGTGGCCCTACCTCTATGTCCCATTTCCCCAGTGCTGAGAAAAGACCGAGGAGGTATTCAAAGGGAAATATCAAAAGGGTGCAAGTGTTGATCTGGGCTTCCGGCACTGCKCTTCCAGTTACCAAGTTCCTCTGCAGGAATTCTACCTCTTTGGCTCTTCTGACACTACTTCCATGCATTCATCCTCCTCTTCACCTAACCTCTGAGAGGTCAGGTGAGGACTGAGTAGAGTACCTTGCTAACTTTTTGCCTCCCAGCATACTCTCTAAAATCAGTTCATTCCCATTGGATTTACATTGGATTAATCTTGCTGTGAGTATGCTAAAAGAACTGAAGAAGGTATGGAGTTGTCCTATATATCTCAGAAATGTTCCTCAGATATAGTGGCTCAGTCCATTTATAGCACTTTACAAAGAAGCATGATGGTAGAAGGCAAAATACTAGTGCAGTCTCCAGGAACCTTTTAATGGTTATAGAATACTAAAGTAACYAAATACACTTACAAAACAAACAGAGCTTTAACACACTGTACCACAGATATATATGGCCTATCAAACAAGGCACTGGTCTAGGCCATAGACCTCAGCTCAATTTGCAATTATGTTAGTGTTACCTTGAATAAATTACGCCTGTGTGCTGGCTTTCTCCATCCACAAAYGGGATTTGGGCTCCTCTGTTATATTCAATAAGACTCTGAGATCTACAGATATGAGAGGTAGGTATCATTATATTTCATAGCTTTATCTTAAGTAGATTAAAATGTATTCTTTCCATGACAATGGCACTGCCCTTTGGATGTTTAGCATGCTGTTTTCCATCACCCATCAACAGATGTACTTTCTGGACAGTCTTCAAGAATGTTTTACAGATAATTTGAGACTATTTTGTTTTAATTTTATTTCTTTTGTTGCTTATTTTCTTTAAGCATTTTATCCTCAGGGACTTGGCTAAGCTATGACCATTAAAAAAATTATATAGCAATATGTAGTTTCTGTTTTCTATTCAAGCTTTTACTCAACTATATCTCAAAGGCTTGAATATAACTTTTTCCACTTTTCTGATACTTCATGAAGTTGCATGCAGTCTAGGCAATGTTCCTTCCCTTTGTAGTACAATTATTAGAGCCAAATGTTGCTTAAAGTATGGATTATATTTGCCTTTCTCCCAGGATTAAGAGCAGAGAGATTTCCTTACCTTCTTGTTTGTCCAACTTCTGTCATCAGGTTTCCATAAACAAATCAGGCAGCCTCTTTCCTCAGACCAAGGGGATGATGACAGGAAGAAAGCAGACCAGATGAAAGTTGCAGAAAATATGACTTGTTCCAAAACCCAGCAATTTTCTCTAGTCTCTATTCCAAAGAGATCAAAACTGCTAGAACAAATTTAGCCTACCAAAGGTACATTTAATCAAGGCCATGATTTTATATTCCCCTGTTTTTTGTTCCTGTCCATCGCCCCCTTACAGTTTTTAAAGTCATAGCATTTCAAAATTTATATATTTTTACATTTTAAAACAAAATTATTGAGCTAAACTTCAGAAAACTGTAAAAAAATAGAGCCATTAAAAGCTTGCGAAGAAATATTTAGTAATTAGCTACAGCAAAAAGAAAGAAAAATAAAATTGCTTCAAAATATTGTTTTAAAGATACTACAGCAGAGATTTTCAAAACTTAATGGGAGTTGCACATATGCATCTCCCATTAAGTTTTGTAAAAATTGGGTATATTTTGCCTATAGTGGTTTGAAAAATTCAAGTCTGCATGCCCAATACCTAGTAACACAAAACTCCAAATTTACTGCTTAGCTTCCTTCTTAGATTCCTTTTTTCCTCGAATATCAAGTTGACAAGGTCTGATTTTTTCTGAAGTATTCTGATGTTCACAAGCAGTCCTTACTCCATTGGAAGGAGGCTGAAAGACAGCCCGGGAATGTTTAGGTAAACTCATTTAGTGACCCTGACAAGGAAACAAAGACAACTAACCTATCCTTGTTTTCTGCACTTATTCCTGACACACTGACTCAACCTGCGAAGTTTCAGGACATTTTAAAGACAATTATCTACAAGCTTCCCTTTGTAAAACTGACATTTTACAGAATGTGGTCATATATACATAGAAAAAAAAATACATTCCTCCTTCCCCAGTTTTATATGTACAAATGGAACTCAATTGCTGCTCATTGTGAACCCCAAAACTAGTGCAGAATTAACACTTATTTAAGATAGTTGGGTTAACTTTCATGTAATGGATACTTTATTGTATACATTTAGTTTTTTGGTGGCCACAAAAACTAGCTAAAAGATAAATGTCAATCTCTTCAGTAGGGCTAAAGCCTAAATTACTTCTCTCTACAGCCAGTCCCAAAGTACTGAACCTTACAACCAACCATTAGCTCAAGAAGTTTTCTTGTGTCTTTTTCTTAGAGAAAGAAGTTTTGAGGGTATTTCACAAAGCTAMTAGTTGTTTCCCTCAGCCCTGAACAAACAATATTCCCACAGTCTATTGTAATGGGAGGATCACCCCAATACTAATAAAAAGATACATCACCTAATAAAAACACCTAGTAACATGATTTTTGCTGAACATCATTTACTAGGGTGAAAATATAGAAGGGTGCCAAAACGTATAATTCTGCTTAAAGCCCTCATCCTCTTAAATAGGTATATATTTTGATAGTATTACACATTCCAATCACAACAACAGGAGGATTATTTGTTAATAGGTGTTCCTTGTGTATTAATGGGTAAAAGTTTTAACATCAAGCAGGTTGCTTCTCAGTAATTTAATTCCTAGAACCCTGGCAGGTTCAACAGGTATTCAAAAGGTCACATATTTTCCTCAGAAAAGATGATATAAAAATAGCTTTCAGGATCTATGCAACAGTATGGTCCTTCTCCTATGCTATCTTACAAAAAGACAAATTAAATAATTGCAATTGTTTAAATAACTATTTACTCACATCATGTATAATTGGTATTATCAATAACTTAGAAGAGAGTATTTTCCCTGTAATTTCAAATATATAATTATATTACACTGAAAATATTCTAAATTAAACTCCATACAGAACACAGTAAGGCAGAGAACACATGCCTGCTTATTTTTTGATCAGTTAAATTAATCATTATTGCATTGATATAGCATTTTACAACAAGAAATTTGCATTACTATTTAAAAACAGAATGTGGGTACAAAAGTTATCTCATTCAACACATTCAAAAATAAAGAGTTCACTGGAAAAAATACCAGTGACTTTCAGTTCAGCAGCTGCTCCTTGTCACCGTTTGTAACACAGCCTGTTTTCAATACACTCATACTGTTTCTTCACCTTCGGGAACTTCACCTTTGCACACTTCTCCCTGAAATCACATGAATATAGAAGAAAATTCAAGGTTTTGCCTAATGCATGCCCCAATCCACGTTTTTTCAGAGCCTCCTTGTTCCCAACCAAGTAAGTCTCAGCACAGAGCGGGCCAGAGAAATCTAATAAGTCAGTTGGGTTTATTTCTTGGGATATACCACAGAGACTACCTGTTAGAAGCAAAGAAGAAACAGCAGCAACCTCTAGAAAGGGCATTGAAACAGCAGTAAAAGTCTATAACTGGACAAGCCAAGTGAGGAGGAGGCATTCAGGGGAGAACAGTAGGCTAGGGGAGGAAGGGCGTAGGCAATTTGAAGTAAAGGTCTCTCCAAAAACCCATTGCGATTCAATTAATCCTCCTTCCAATTAATTCCAACAGACCTCCCCCTTTATTTTTTTTTTCTATATAGAATTTGACAATTTTTAAATAGATTTTTATAGTAAACAATACATTAACTGTCATTTTTCTGTATTCACTGTACCTTTTTAAATTTGCCTAATATAGGCTTGCTTCTGTGTGCACATACAGATAATATAATCTTCTGCTTCTGTGTGCACATACAGTAACATAATTAAGCATGTCACACACCATTTAAAATATGTGTATTAATTCTCTTCCTTCTTCTCCTTTCACCTTCCTTTTCCTTGACAGCCATTTTCTTCCCTCACTTCTTGATCCTTAACTTCCATTTCTTTTTTCTTTTTTTCTTTTTTCCTTTTTTCTCTTTTTGCCCCCTCCAAATTATTTTATTCACAATTACTCTCTTATTGCTTTTCAAATTTGTTTTTGACTACAATACACTCAAAATCATTTTAAAAATGCTAGCTGAATTGGTCCAACAGGCACTGGCCACTTATCCTTTAAGCTATACTCTGCTTTTTACTTGTTAATGCAGTATTGCACTTAGATTATACCCGTACAATATATTGTTTCAGTTAATAGAAAGCAATTTCATATCAATTGAAGAAGATACAAAGGAATATTTCAGGTTAAAAATAAAAACACTCTAAAGGGTAGAGGATTTAAAAAAAAACACAGTAATAGTACACATTGTGGATATAAATGAAATAAAGGATTAGAACACTAGAACAAAGGAGATTAGAAATAAAAAGATTGAGGAATATATTCTATATAAACTAAAGGTAAAATATCCTAATTAATCTTCTCTCTCTTTTTTTTTTTTTTTAATTTAAATTAAAGGACAGTCCTAATACCTCAGACTAGCTGCTACTTCTTCTCAAAGTCTGCCTCTCAGTCATCCTCTTCCTCTTGACATGACCTCCAAAGCCTAGAGCAAGGAGAAGAAAGTACAGGAGAGAGATGAGTAAGACACCAACACCACTTCTGTTCGGAAGGACGGGGTCCTGATAAAGATGACATTTTTGGTCAGGTTAGGATAATCCGGACTTTAAATTATCAAAACACAAAGGATGATCAAACTCTAAATCAGGAAAGTACAATTTAAAATAATTAGCAGTATCCTGCTACATGTATTTCTGGAGGAATGGAGAGGGAAAAAATCTAGATCATATAAGTCTTATCAATTATGAGAATACTACAAATCTATGAATACTGGTTGAATCTACTCAGGGGATAATATTCCGCTGAAATCAAACCTTATTTGAAAAAGAAAAAAGGGGGGGAAAAAAGATATGCATGCCTCTACCGTACACAAAGAGGAAAGGCTGATGAATAGAAAGAGGTAAGAACAAAAGAAAAGAAGAATTTAATTAAAGTAATTAATTTGAAAATACAGTTTATGTTTATCATTGAAAGCCTTCTTTGCTTACATTGTACAGCAAAAACGGAATGAATGTTTCTTGTTGATGATGTTGGTTTGGCTTAAGTCCAGGTCTTACACTATCAGAACATTTTATCTGTACATTTTCTTTCTTCATTATTATAGAGGTTGCATAAAGGAGGTAATTTTTATGTTAATATTCTTACTTATGCTCTCTCCTTCAAAATACCTTTCCTTTAATCTTAAGAAAATTTGGCAGAAAATTTTCCTTGACATATAAAGAGATAAGGAACAGGTTCCTTCCTCTCGCAAACTGTTCTTATGACTTGTTACTTACAGAAAAGGAAGTGGAGGATGATAGCAAAGGAAAATAACAAGAAAGATAAAGATACAGTATTTGCTCATTTAATTTACTCCAAAAGCATGAACCGCCAGCAGATTCTAACCTGTATTCAGAACTATTTTCACTTTGCCCATCTTCTGCTGGTTCATTTATTGCAAAATCGTGCTGATTCAAATCATGAATATTG